TGTAAGCTATTGACACTTGTTTTTGTGGTTCGATGTAAATCAGTTTTATTTATCTATGTACACATCCATCTATTTATTTATTCATTCCTCATTCAACGGTTTTATTGACATATAATTCACATATCATGAAATTTAATAGGTACTCACATCAAGAAGAGTTGTACAATTATCACCACAACCAGTTTTAGAACATTCTCTTCATTCTTATACTCATTGTTCTTAGCTCCCCACTTCCCCTCAACCTCCCCTGTCTTATCCCCAAGGAACCATTAATCCAGATGCTGTATCTGGAGATGTACCTATCCTGTATTTCATATAAAGGAAAACATTAAAAACCATGAAAACAAACAATAAACTGAAAAGAATAACAAAGTAAAACCGATAAAAACCTCAATCAAAAAGGAAGCAGAAAATATTCAAAACGAGAACACATTTAAATGGCTCATAAGGGAGTTCACACAACGGGGTGCTAAATGCTAACCTCACTGCATCTGCCAGAGTCCCTTTTGCGGTGCATTCTGCAAGGCTATTCCCATCCCTGGTCCACGGTCAGAGGGAATTCACCAGGGGCTCAATCCACATGCATTTCCCCTTTACTGTTGTTTTCAAAAAAGAAACGGCTTTAAAATAGGTCAAAAGAGAGATCAAATGATAAGATGTTACATCTGCCTGTAAAGTCGATTTTAATAAATATCCCATGTAACTATTAAAAAGGATGTGTTCTCCTGCTGAATGCACTGTTTTATATGTCATTAAGGTTATTTGTAAACTGTTTTTCAGATCTTCAATCTTTATTCGTTTCCTGTCAGTAGTATTATTACTTTTTGATATGCTTATTTTGTAGGTATTGCTTAAGATATATTAATACACGCTCTCGCTACTGGTTGTGGATTTGCCTATTTTTTTCATGCTAATAATTTCTGCTTTATATTATTTGAAGCGATATTCTTATATATATTCACATTTATAATTATTTTGCCATTTGGGTGATGTAATTTTTCTATCATGAATACTCCCAGTTTATAGATGATGAAACTTTCTGTGTTAGTGTATATTAGTATAATCGTCTCAACTCTGTTTTGGTTACTGCTTGCATGTTATATATCTTATCCTTTCACCTTTGACCGTTCTATATAATTGCATTTAAATTATATCTCCTGTAAACAGTATACAGTGAATTTTTTAAATGAACGAATCTGACAATCTTTGTATTTTAATTGAGGCATGCCATCCTTGCACATTTAATGTAACCGATACAAATAATGATAAATCTACTCTTTATGCCAGCCTTTCTTGATTTCATATCTTTCTTTGGATTAACTTATGTGCATTATCCCACATCCTCCCTTCAGTTCCCAGTAGATTTGGTAGTTACCTATTCTTTTACGATTATTATGGAGAGGCCCTGGTGGTGCAGTCATGAAACATTTGCCTGCTACCCAGAAAGGCTGGTGGATCAAACCCATCAGCCACTCCATGAGGACAAGACATGGAAATCTGTTTCCATAAAGATGATATAGCCTTGCAAACCTGATGGGCAGTTCTGTGCATTTCTTGCCTTTTTCTTTATTTTTTCCTGGTCTTTACAAAATATATATAATTAAATTTATTATTCATTCACCCTTTGATTAGCTTGGTAGTTATCTATTCTATTACAAATTCTTTTAGTTGTTACCTGATGGATGAAAGCATTTAGTCATGATTTATGAAGTCTAATATAAATGATGACATCTGCCACTTCTCAGAAAATTTAAAGACCTTAGACCATACCTTCTCCCCTGTACTTTGAATTTTCATTTGATGTCCTTGAATTCCATGTATCAAGAACCCCTGGTGGTAAGTGCTCAATTACTATGAAGGTCAGCACTTTGAACTCACCGGCCACTCTGCCGAAGCACGATGTGGTGGTTTGCTTCTGTGGAGATGACAACCTTGGCAACCGATGGGTCAGCTCTCTGCACTCCTGGGTCACCAGGACTTGGAATTGACTTGATGGCAATGGTTTTGTGCAGGAAGTCTCTGTTTACATAGTTCCAAATGCATGGCCTTCAATGACCATAGTTTAGTTACATAATAACCGTCTCTTCGCACTATGTCCATGTTGCATTTACCACAGTGTATTTCCTTAACTTTGCTGGCAGCTTGTCAGCCCACAGACCTTGATGTAAATATCAGATACTCATCGCGATAGGTGACCAGTCATACCACCTCCTTCAGAGTCATCGGTGATTGATCACAGTGCATCGGTTATTTGGCTCATTCACAGACTGCAAAGCAAGCAGTTGTGTTGCCTCTTTGACTCCCAGTGATGAATCATGGGGCATATTTTAAAAATAAAAGAGGGAATTGGCCAACAAAGACGAAAGTAGCAAATGTGGAATGTGATAGTGCTGGAAGTGAAATTTGGATCAAATGTAAATGAGACTTTAGAAGAAATAGCTGCTTATGGGAATGCTAACACTGCCACTGTAAGATTCTAGTTATGCAATCAGAAAAATGTAGCGAAGGCAGTTGTTAATTGAGAAAAGTGGTTATTAAGTGGCTTCTTAAAAGTAGGAAATTTGATTTTGCAGGTAAAATTCTTTATAAGCTGTAAGACACTAGAGAAATAAAAACAGTTATTTCTAAAGCGTATTGTCTCCTATACAAGTCATAGCGCTAAATGTTTATATGCACTCTCTCAGTTAGTATTTTAATGATCATATGAAGTTGGAACACTTGCTCTCTTTATTTTACAAATGAGACAACAGAAGAAAGAGATGATCACATAATCTGTCCCAGGTTCAGTAGTGAAGAGACAGAAAGCTGGGGTTTGAATTGACCGAGAACCAACTCCGACCAAACCCCTCACCGCCGGGCAGTCGGTGCCAACTCAGCAACCTGCAGAAGCAGCAGTCCGAGATCAGTGACATCTGGCTGTGGGTCAATCTGCTGCACACGGCCCCTTTCGAGTGTGGACAGTTAAGGAAGTTACTTTGAAGATTAAGGTGCAGCTGACCCAGTCATGGTACTTTCAAGTGCCTCATAGGCATGTGAAAGTAGGACGTTAAATCAGGAAGGTTGAAGAAGAATCATGCATTTGAATGCGGAGCATCTTGAAAGGACCATCGACCGCCAACAAAACAAGACTGAAAACAAATCTGTTTGGGAAGAAGTACAGCCAGCATGCTCCTTCGAGGCAAGGAGAGTGAGACTTCATCCCACATACTTTGGCCATGTTCTCAGGAGAGACCAGTCCCTGGAGAAGAGTATGGGGCTTGGTAAAGCAGAGGGGCAGCGAGAAAGAGGAAAGCCCTTAATGAGATGGGTGGACACAGTGACTGCAACAAGGGGCTCAAACACAAGAACAATTATGAGGATGGGGGAGGTTTTGTTTGTTTTTTTAATGAAAAGATCATTTTATTGGGGGCTCTTACAGGTCTTATAACAATCCATACATCAATGGTATCAGGCATATTTGTACATATGTTGCTATCATTGTTTTCTAAACATTTATTTTCTATTTGAGTCCTTGGTATCAGCTTCTCTTTTCCTCCTCCCTCCCCCCTCTCCTTGTGACCCCTTGATAAATTATAAAATTTTCATAACTTATACTGACCTCTGTCTCCCTTCCCCCATGGTTTCTGTTGTTCATCCCCTTGGGGGTGTGTGTTATGTGTCGATCATTGCCAATGGTTCCCCATTCCCCTCCTCCTCTCCCCACTCCCCGTTACCCTCCCGGAATCGCTACTCCGATTAGTGTTCTTGGATTCCCTGTTGTGAGCTCGTATCTCTTCTATCTGTGTACATGCTCTGGTCTAGCTCACAGTGAGAGGCAGGACTGGGGTCATGATAGTGGTGGTGGTAGTGGTGGTAAGCCTCAAGGAACCAGAGGAATATTGTGTGTTTTGTCGGTTGTTTCATCAGTGCTATACTGTGCCCTGGTTGACTCATCCTTTCCTTGTGACCCTTCTGTGAGGGGATGTCCCATTGTCTACAGATGGGCTTTGCATCTTCACTCCAACCCTCCTCATTCGCATTGATATGATTGTTTGTTTTGGGTCTTCTGATGCCTGACACCTGATCCCATTGACACCTCATGATCATACAAGCTGGTGTGCTTCTTCCACGTGGGCTGTTGCTTCTCTGCTAGATGGCCACTTATTTACCTTCAAGCCTTTAAGATTCCAGATGCTATATCTGTTGATAGCTGGGAACCATCAGCTTTCTTGACCACTTTTGCTTATGCACCCATTTCATCTTTAGCGATCATGTCGGGAAGGTGAGCATCACAGATGCCAGGTTGTTAGAACAAAGTGTTCTCGTGTTGAGGCAGGGCTTGAACAGAGACCTGAAGTCTGTTCACTACCTCAGTGTACTGCCATTTGTACATAGGCCAATCCCTCTATTTTGATGAATTAATGTATTTACATGTGTACACACCGTATCTTTATACCTCTATCCATAGCTCTGCTTCCTAGAACTTCCCTCTGTGTCCTCTTCCTTCCTCTGGGACAGGTTGTTATTCTGTTGTAATTAGGGTTGCTGTGAATTGGAACTGGCTCAGCACCTAACAGCCATGGACCAAGTCCAGAACCACCATTCCTCATCACTTTCCTATTCTAACCTCACTAAATTCCAATCTTTCTAATTAACGGAAAACACGGTTTGTATTTATCTCAGAATCTTGCCTATTCTCTGCCATCATATAGGTATTCAGTAAATATTTATTGACTCACTGGCATATATAACACTAAATTTACAGACAAGATAATAATAGAATAAAGCAGTTCAAGAGGAGAACATCTTCCAATGGTGCCTTTCAGTTTCCAATCATGGAACTGAGAAGTAATTAGGATGAATTACCATAAACTTGGGAATGAGAAAGAGTTAGAATTTCATGATGAACAAATGTCTTGACCCATGATTTAGAATCCAGCTCTCATTGCCATTCAGAGACCCCAAGTCATCAATGGTGAGGGCCATCACTGAGACCCGGCTTCACTTATAATGGTACTTACATGTGAGTCATTTTACTCAGATTGTAGAAGGAACGAGATGCCAGACGTTGCAGAGTTGTGTCTATTGATAAGTAGCTGAATATCACAAAAAATAGAAGACAGAGTAGGAAGTTAGTAGGGTTATGAACTTCAAACATACTATTAATTATGGTGTCATTTCTTTGTCAGGGGCTTTCCAGATCAGGCAACATCCACAATGCTCATGCTGTCTCCTTAAGTTAAAATTAGCTACTCCTATGTTTGCATCCCATTACGCCTGATGATTCTGGCATAGCAAGTCACATTTATCCTTCAGATCTTGTTCAGATATCACTTCCTTCAGATAGCCTCTTCAGTCAGATCCCCTTAATATATTCTCTCAGTGACACAAGTTGCTCATCTCACTAATTATAACAGTGTGCTTGATTGTCCAGTGGTATGTCAATGGTCTTTGATTTACATGTATCACTCAATACTTCTCTGAAATGAATTCTTTGTATTTTTGCTGGCCATTGAACTCTAAAAATATGTGTTAAGTAAATGTATAAATGAATGGATGAGTTATTTAAAAAAGCAAAAAATGCAGAGATTTCAAAAAGAACATAAAAATTAATAGGAAGACATCTCTAACAGAGTACCTCATAATAGCATGCGGTTAGAGATATGGTTTCAGAGGGAAGAAAAACCCAAGACTGTTGCATGGAGCATTCCAACGTATGGCAAGTATACATTCCTTTGAGAATTTTCTTGAGTTGGAATAGTGCTAAAAATGTAAGATTCACCTTGAGTTTTGTAAGCAAAAGATAATTCAAGTAAAAGCTTTCAGTACTGAAAAAGAGAAAAGAATAAGGAACATAACCTGTCAAGAATATATAAGGGACGAAGTTTCAAATAGTCTCCTGAAATTCCATCCTGTACTGAGAATGACTAATACTATCAAATCAATGACCTTTTTTCTCTTTGACATTTGGGGAAAGTAATGATTAACAGATGGTGTCCACTCATAGACATGGCCGGGATTCATGATCAGTCCGGGCCACACACTTGAAAACCCATGGAGCTTTTAAAACATACTGATATCAAAGGCTCAGCCCAGGATAATTAAATCAGAGCTTATGAGGTATGGGAAAATAATATTCATTTTTAATAACTTCCAAGATGATTCTATATGCAGGCAGGCAGGGTTGAGCACCACTGGTCTAGAGCTTGAATTGATTCTGCCAGCAGAATATGTTCCTGATATAATGTGTAAGAGAGGAGCAGTTGTGACAATTCCAAATGGACTTGTGTTTCTGTTTTGCATTACCTATTTTCTAAACAATTATCCTTTGATGTGTCAGACTTTCTAAACTTCTAGTGTCTAGTGGATAACAGCATTATATAACTATTTTAATCCAAACACGGTACCTCCAATGTAGAGAATACCGTGGAAGTCGTTGACAAGAATTGCTTTGTTGCATGGAGACTGAAGGTATGAAAGAGATGCAGCAGTATCATCTGAAGAGCGAGATTCCTTCTGAAGGCGGTCAAGTTGTTTTCCTAACTGTGCATAGTCTTTGCTCCACCATCTCCCGACTTTCCTAATTTAGAAGACTTAGCGTTTCTCCAGGTCTCAGTGGAAAGGTCATTAGCTTATGTTATAAGGACGGGAGTTCCACTTTCTCCAACCAAATGGCACCTTCTTAGAGGGGTGCTACGGTGTGGTTGTAGAACAATATGTTACAGCCATTAAGTCAATGCTGACTCATAGCGACCGGTGCAGGACAGGGCAGAACTTCCCCCTGTCAGTGTCTGAGACTGTCACTACTTATGGGAGTAGAAAGCCTTGTCTTTCTCCCGTGGAGCAGCAGCTGGTTTCAAATAGCTGATACTGCAAATTGCAGCCAAACATGCACCCACCACACCACCAGGGCTCCCGTAAAAAACAAAACAAAACACCCCTCAGTATTCAGCCATCAATATTCAATTCACCATCCCTCTTCTCTGGAGCTTTCTATCAGCCTCCTCCCTAGTTTTGAGTCTCTAGCCTGGAGCTATTCCTCTTCAATTCAGCCTCCATAGTACCTTCAAAGGAACAATTTTAAAAGAACAATCGGATCGTGTCACTTGCCTGCTTGAAATCAGACAGTGGTTCCACGTTGTTCTTAGGGAAGATTTCGAATCCTTCACATCACTCTAAAGATCTGGGCTTACCACAAATCTTATTTTTTTGCTGTCACCTCCCTCTCCCATACTAAACTCCAGCCTTAACAAAGTGAATGCTATTTCTCAACAAGCCCAGACATTTCTCCTGCTTGGGACTTTTTATTTTAACCAGGTTTTAAATTGATCAGGCAGATCTCAATCTATGTGCCATTTGAGTTCCCACAGCTCCCTATAGCGTCTCCCATCACCACTCCCTTAGGAATGAATGTTCTCTATTGTCTGAGGAGTACCTAGCAGAGTGCTAAACACAGCAGGGCTCAACAATGATTTATTGAATAACACAATGGCAAGTTACTAGTGTCCAAGTGGAGACACTAAATAGGCAGCTGTATAAGAGCGATGAAGGACAGGGAGGAGAAGTAAGCAGTGATGCTGTTAAAAGGAGAAGGAAAATTAATTTAGGAGGAAGGTGATGTATTTATTTTAGATATTCTGAGTTTGAAGTGCCAGCTGGCCCACCAAAGTGGTGATGTTCAGAAAAAAGTTTATAATATAGACCTGAGTTGCAGGAATGAATATTTAGTTTGTGAATCAACTACCTTAGGTAAAAGTTCATCTAAAACAGAGGAAAGAACTAGGAGGCAAAAGACATTTCTAGAGGTATAAGTATAAGCATGTATATATGTATATAGATTAATATACAATGATAGGGATATAAGTCTATGTACATATATTTATGTTAAGTATCAAGGTGGCAGATGGACATTGGGCCTATATCCAAGTCCTCCCTCAACACAAGAACACTTTGCTCTAATAACCTGGCATTCTGTGATGCTCACCTTCCTGACACGATCGCTGAAGTAAAAATGGGTGCATAAGTAAATGTGGTGAAGAAAGCTGATGGTGGCCAGCTATCAAAATATATAGCATTTAGGGTGTTAAAGGCTTGAAGTTAAATAAATGGCCATCTAGCAGGGAAGCATCAAAGCCCAAATGGAAGAAGCACACCAGCTTGTGCGATCATGAGGTATCAATGCGATCAGGTGTCAGGCATCAGAAGACACAGAACAAACAATCATACTGGTTGGAGTGGAGATGCAAAGACCATATGTAGGCAATGGGGCATCCCCTCACAGAGGGACCACAAGTAAGAGACGAGCCAGCCAGGGTGCAGTGAAACTTACCACATTCCTATTGTTCTTTAATGCTTCCTACCTTCCCCCACTGCCACTATCATGATGGCAATTCTACCTTACACACCTGGCTAGACCGGAACATGTACACTGGTACAGGAGCTCTCAACACAGGGAATCCAGTTGATACATTCCTCAGGGACAGTAATGGTAGTAGTGATACCATGAGAGAAGAGGTAAGATGGCGGGGTTTGGGGGGAGAAAGGTGGAATCAATCATCAATGTAAAATACCACCTACCCCAAGGGGGATGATCAACAGAATTGTGGGTGAAGGGAGACCACGAATGGTGCAAGATATGAAAATAATGATAATTTCTAATTTATCAACGGGTCATGAGAGTGGTAGGGAGGGAAAAAGAGGAGCTGATACCAAGGGCTCAAGTAGAAAGAAAATGTTTTCAAAATGATGATGGCAATATATGTACAAACGTGCTTGCTACAATTGATGTATGGATTGTTAAAACAGCTGTAAGAGCCCCCAATAAAATGATTTAAAAAAATAAAAGATCATCCAATAGGAGTAGAGTATATAGGAATTAGGCCATTAACAAATAAAGGACTGGTACTTAAGGAATTTTTTAAAATAAGGTAAAATGACATAAAATGGGAAGCGAAGAAGGAGGCTGAGGGGAATACCCAGTGTAAGATGTTATGAAGATGGATGAGAAGGTAATCAGAAGGAGGCTAGAATTTAAAACTGTAAGGCAACATCAAAAACTGCAAAGAGATTCAGTTAGAGAGATTTCTCAACCTTGCACTATTGCACTATTGACAGTTTGGACTGGAAAATCTTTGCTATGGGGAGGAATGTCATGTGCATGGTGTCCTCGACTAAGTGAATGTCAGTGGTACCTCCTCCAGTGGTGACAACCAAAAGTATCTCCAGACATTGCAAAATGCTTGGAGGGTGGGGGGTGGGGTGCTGCAAAATCATGCTTGGTTGAAAAGCACTGAAATGACATAATAGAAACTCCATAAAATGGCCATGAAATGAGTAACTTTACCTAGAAACTGCCTAGGCTGCCCCTGGTTTTGTGGTGACTTGGTGTGTCTGAATGTACTAGATGGCCTCTCTGGAAGTTACATAATCTCTTGTCAACTTGAGCAAAAGGGTGGAGTCTTGCCTGTCATTCAGGTCACAACTTGACGACCTCCTTTGGAGGCCAGACCAAGTCTCTCTGCCTTCCCTTTCCTGCTGTTGAGACACTCAGAGAGCTGCATTCGGCAGACATCATTGCATGTGTTGTGTGAGTCTAAAGAGGGATTTATGGACTAGTATTAGGCATATAGGCTAATATCAGACTTATGGAGTTGATCTGGACTGGGTTGGATGTTTTCTCAATATGCCATTGCTCTTTTATATAAAGCTCTTTCTTATACACATATATGTGTCTCTGGATTTGTTTCTCTAGTCAACCTGGACTAACACAGCCTGACATGGGGAATTAAATGAAATAGAGACCTAATTTACTTCATGTATAGATGTCCTCTGTCAGCCCAACAGACAAATCCTTCTCTGCTTGCTGAGAGTAGATAGCAATTCACTTTTTGAAGGTTTAGGATTATTCCTAATTATTTCATTTATTTCCTTTCTCTTTATGAGCAAGGTTGGAAATCGTTGACCACTTCAATGACACATTTAAATGTTTGTATTAGTAGTGAAAGCTATACCAAAGGTTGGTTGCATTAGAATAGATATGTTGGAGATAAGTATATAAATCCGTCTGTAGAAGAAATTCCCAGCTAAGATTTTCATCTTAAGGAACATTAAAATGCAACAAGAATCATAAAATTCTCAAGACTAAATGAATTCAAATTTTCTTTAGGTTTAAAAAGTCATTTAGGAATTATGGAGTGGAAATGTAACAAAATCAAGTAAATATATTTTTATATTTCATACACACTAAGTTTACATTCCATTGACTTATAGCAAGTACAAACAACATAAAATAAAACATTTTTTATAGAGCACATGCCCCAATTATAAAATCACATGTTATAATTGCAAATGATCTTCAAAAGAATTACTTACATCCTGGAAATATTGGGCAGATTTGAAAATGCATGACTGGGAATAGTTTTCAGATGAGTCTCTGTAAGTTTCCTATTGAGAAAAACAGAAACAGTTACTCAATTAGAGTTTTAGCCACGAGACTTTCAGAACAGCTCACCTTAATTACAAAGAACGGTACAAAAACACAACAGTCCTTGAAACATAGATTTCATCCTACACAATCAGTTGATACAATAGTCTATGAAAACATACATTGTTTTTCTCAAGAAGATGAATATTCAATACCAAAAGTAAACTTTCAAATCTCTTTGAGTTAGTAAATAGCACACCTTCCCTAGTCTTTCTAATATCCATTGCATTTGTTAACTGAAGAGTAGCAGACTATAGTCCCACAAGACAGCATGACTGCAGGATTTTTATCATGCACTTGTCAATGAACATGTCTTAGAATTTCAGCATAATAGATGTTAAGCATAATTGAGAGGAAAGAAATACAGTCCTTTTGCCCAAAGAACTCTTCAATCATCACTTTGATCTCGGTATCCACTTGTTCATGGATAAGCAGCGAGGAATATTTTCAGGGTCTCACATCATGGACAGAGATGCAGCATCAAGTTTGTGGTCACTCTCAGTCTGTTGGTTATATTCTGCTGCTGAAATAATCCAGAAAAGCTGAGACTATTTTCCTCATCAACCAAGAGACAACTTCATGCATTCTTTCTATCTCAGTGATTGCTTGTGTGGTACCTCTTCCCTTGTCACTGTTGGGTAGAATTCTAGAAGATAAAAGGTCTGCATGCTGTCCTAAGTCGCTTTACCGATATAGTGATGTCCTACCATGCTGCCATCTTCCCCAGGAGTCTGATTTTACCATTTAAATACCTACAGTCACCTGTCTTCCATTTAAAATCTTTTTTGTGGATATTAGAGTAAAATTGAGCGTCTCTTGTCTACAGGATTAGTTCTCAACCACCTGTTTTCTTGATTTATATTCTTTCTTACTCATTCCAACCAAGAAAACCTGATGTGGCAGTTCTGTAAGGGGACTTCAAACACTGTGTGGAGAAGTGCCACTAACTTTTCGTTCCATTTTCCATGAACTTTTTGAAGCCCCCTTGTACTTCGTCACAGGCAGCTGCTGTGATGTGAAATTGACCAAGCAGTCCCTAACAGCAGCAACGGGTGCTTCCTTGGGTTATCATTTTCACAATGATTGAAATGAGTCTGGAGCTCGCCTAATTAATGCCTCCGTGGGGCGATCTGAGTGTTCGAAAGGATCTGTTAACTTTGAGGAGTGAGGACGAGAAGTGAACGACAAAGAGTAGCTTGCCAATTCTTGGCAAGCCCTGGTGTTTTGCTGTGAAATCCAATGTTGTCTCAATATGATTACAGAAACTTAGTTTCCATACATTGTCCCTGTCCTCCTTTCCATGTATATTTCCTTGGTCGGGTTAATTAAAAGTCCTGTCTGTCCAGATCCAGGATTCTGAAGTTTAAAAGCTATGAAGAGAGTAAGTTGTACTAATATCTCTGTAAAATTGGGTCATGCCAAAGGAAAACAAAGGGTAAGATAAACACCTGTTGGGTATTATCCACAAACAAGATATTCGATGCTGCCAGAGTCTCACCAAAGAAACCTCACCAGTGCACACAGGCCAATAAGGATTACGTCTCTCAGAGCAGCTGCCTAGTAGTACTAACAATATGATATGCACGATAAACTAGAGCAAAAAAGGAAGGAGGCAGCCTAAATTGCCAGCAATTCTAGCCTGAAATTAAAATGAATTATCTGTTTGCTGAGTGAAATGAGTTAGAATCATAGTAATTATAATACAGTTTGGGACAGAAGACGAATTTAAATAATTCTAAATGAATGAGCTAACGGAATGTCAAGCTTTTGTATAAACCAACCGACTTCAATCCTAATGTAGCGGCTCATCTACTTAGTCCTGGATATATCTAATAGTAATGCAAGCATAATCTAGGAAAAAATAAAACTTATTGTTGAATTTATTATTATTCTAAACATCATGATTACATTTGGTATAACTTATTTTGACTGTCTCTCTAACATCCACAAGATAGCTTAAACTTTACTCTCTTTCCTGTCATTTAAAATGTCATAGGCCTTACTATAACATTAATAATCAGCATTATGAAAACATTTAGAAAGATTTTCCTTCTAAGACTTCTATTGCTCTTTAAATGAGAACAAAACTAATCGGCAAGGATACGGGACCTTGCTAATGAAATATGGAAGATGCCATACTTATTCACAGTCTTTGCTCCATTTCCCCCTAGCACTCTAGGATGAGGGTGATGGAGAATGAAGTATCATATTATGTGATGTCTTGCTGACACCCAGCTGGCCCTTGGAGTCAATAACTGCTTAAGCAATAATGCTTATTGGAGATTTCTGGTTGGTTGTTTTGTAGTAATGCTGAGGTTCAGAGTGTTTGGGGTCCACCTGATTTCTTTTCTCTTCCTCTCATCTAATGGGAAGCAGCTGGATATTCCTTCTATTTTCCACATTTTCAAGAGTTTACTTGAGTTCTTTACAATGAAAGGAATTTGTGGTTTAATGAAAAGTCTCTTACGACATTGTAATTACTGCTTTAGAAGCAGATGATGTAAGAAAAGCAAGGGAATGAGATTATATGGCCCCACTGTTTTATTTCTGTTTCAGAATAATTTTAAAAATGTTGTGGTTAATAGACAAGGAAAACAGGTCAGTTCACCCATTTCTACATGTATAAATCAGAGAGACTGATTACATTTGAGTTTTCAGGTCTCTTGCTTTCTGATGGTTGGACCAGGGTGCAGCTTCCTTAGCCAGTTCCCTGCTTCAACTGACAAGGCTCACTTCCTGCAAGACATCCCTGAGGAGAAGCCACATGGGCCTACCCCGGTGCAGCCCTGGGTGCTGGAGCACCCATGTGGAGACCCCTGCCAGCGCTGAGATGCTTACACGTTCACTGACTCGGCTTTCCTCCTGCAGTCAGCATCATTGTGTCTGTTTTGTGATGCAGGAGGACTTTGTGGATTGGTGTTGGACATATGGGTTAATGGGTTAATGTTGGATTTGTGGGCTTGGGTAGCACTGGGTTGGGATGTTTTCTTGATGCGCACTTAACCTTTATATAAAGCTCTCTCTTATACATGAGTTTCTGTGGATGTGTTTCTTTAAAGTACTCAGACTAACACATTACTTCAAGGGTTCCCATCCATACCTTCTTTTTCTGGGTAGCAACTTTCCTACTCCTGAGGAATTGTGGAAAAGGAAATATACACACCTTAGTATAAGGTCTTCTGACAAAAATATATGAAAGACTTCACGGTGCTATACTACTAGCCTAAAATTAGCATCATAATAGTATTTTGCTTTATGTAGAAATACACTAGGAACTGAAAGAGACTCTACGCTTTGTGGCTCAGAATAAGAAAGCAATGATTATTCTCTCTAAAATATAACACAAACACACAAAATAAAATATATCTTACACAAATAGTACAAGTATTTATTATTAGTGATTAAGACACCACATAGCTCATCAGGAATAACGTGCACAGGTATAGATTCCTATCAGAGGTGGAGAACACATTTTAATATTTAACTTTGAGTTCAAAAGTTATTTTTTTTACCATGATTTCCTTGAACCAAGAATGATCAATGAAGATTTGACTTCATATAATTTTTTTTAACCTTACTGAGATTTATATGTTTCAGATGTCTGCATTTGGAAGATAAAAAGTAGAAATGGCATGGTTGCTTGTACAACATCTTGATTGACGTGGATATTGCAAATAACAATTAAAAAAAGACTCCATGTGACGTCCCGTCCTGTTTGGTCTCGCAGTAACAGTAGGAGAGGATAATCTGGTGGCGGCCAGTGAAAAGAGTAAACCATTTTCTTATTTTCCAAAAACAACCGTCGGAGCAATGTAATTTTCACACTCATATTTCACAATCATTGGCTCTTTGCAGTGTACTGTCCTCGTGTATTTCTAGTTTTCACTCATCAACATGTTTAACAAGGTTTTGAAAGCTATAGACATACAGTTTGCAAACGTGTATGGCCAAGTGTGGGCAGGTTTTAAATGCTCGAGGTTGCATGTTCCCACAACCACTTCTACTTGATAAACAGTTGTTAAGTATGAGCCTGTATGACTTGTCCTCAGCTGGGAAGCTTGGCTCATCTGATTTACCACAGCTATGCCTGTGGTCCAGAAATACCAAACTTCCCATGTGTGGGCTGCTATTCTGGCAATCAGGCTGAGGAATCATTTGTGATTCTGCTTCAAGTTTGTTTCCTTCATGTTGGTGCTATCTGCATTTTGAAGGGCCTCGTTTGTATTTGATACCTGGGCCAATGAATCAGTTCCCCCTTTCCTTACCCTCCTGGTATCACTACGCTTATTATTGGTCCTGAGGGGTTTATCTGTCCTGGATTTCCTGTGTTGTGAGCTCTTATCTGTACCCATGTACATGCTCTGGTGTAGCCATATTTGTAAGGTAGAGTTGGGGTCGTGATAGTGGGAGGGAGGAAGCATCGAAGAACTAGAGTAGTGTATGTTGGCCAACTAGCTTTTAAGTCTTCAGTGGTTACTCATAAAAGTAGGATGTTCTGACAATTAACCTTGGTACCTGTCTGCTGAGACTAAGGTCCTATGTGCTTAGGCCCAGCAACTCATTCCCTAAAGGAGTTTGGTTATGTCTACCACACTTTCATAGCTTGTACCCTGCATGCTTAACTACATTCATGGATATAGTTGTACCAAAGGTAAATGTGGTTGTTCGATGCCATAGACTTGGTTTCAAAACTGCCTGGTCTGTGCCTTTCTCACAATTGCTTTGCTTAAGCTCACTGTATAGTTATTGTGCCAATCCATCTTGTTCAGGGTTTTCTGCTTTTTCCCTGACCCTCCACTTCATCAAGCAAGAGGTCCATTTCTAGACTGGTCTTTCCTGAGAACGTCTACTAATGTTTAATAGTTCACCTATTTATAAGTGTTTGTATACAACTCTCCCCTATTTAAGTGAACTGTACTCTTTTTAATAGACTCTTTTTACCTTATATTAAATTATATTA